AGCTTTTGGAAAATATCTTCCAACAATAAAGTCTCTCTTTATCCCTGGTAATTTCTTTCGCTCTGAAGTCTCCTTTGTCTGATATTAACATAGATACTCCACTTTCTCTGGATTAGTGTTGTACGACATGTCTGTTTCCATCCTTTTATTTTTAAACTCCCCGTATCATTATATCTGAGGTGGACTTGTGTGTGTTGTTTGGTTTTGCAGACAGCATATAGTTTGATCCTTTTTTTTTTTTAATTCACTCTGAAAATATCTTTCAGTGGGTTTGTTTAGATCGGGGATCAGCAAACTATGTGGGTTAAATCTGGCCAGCTGCCTGTTTTTTAAATAAAGTTTTATTAAAACACAGCCATGCTCATTTATGTATTTTCTTTTTTTTTTGAGACAGAGTTTCACTCTGTTGCTCAGGCTGGAGAGCAGTGGTTCAATCTTGGCTCACTACAACCTCCGCTTCTTGGGTTCAAGTGATTCTCCTGCCTCAGCCTCCTAAGTAGCTGGGATTACATGTGCCTGCCACCATGCCTGGCCAATTTTTGCATTTTTAGTAGAGATGGGATTTCACATGTTGGCCAGGCTGGTCTCTAACTCCTGACCTCAAGTGAGCCCCAACCCCGCCTCTGCCTCCCAAAGTGCTGGGATTACAGACACCGTGCCCAGCTCATTTATGTATTTTCTATGGCTACTTTTCTGCTACAAAACCAGAGCTGTGTGGTTGCAACAGAGACCATATGGCTGACAAGTTCAAAAATATTTACTGTTTGGACTTTTACTGACCCCTGGTTTATATCATTTATGTTGAATGTAGTTATTGATATGTTTGGATTCAATTTTTATTTTCTTTTTTGTTTATTCCTCCTATTCTTTATTTCTTTATTATCCCTTTCCTGCCTTGTTTTAGATTACTTGAACATTTTTTGTATTCCATTTTAATTAAACTATAGAGTGTCTAATTATATCTCTTTGTATATGTGTTTTAGTGCTTGCTCTAGGGATTACAATGTACATGCTTAACATTTCCTGGTCTAATTAGAATTAGTGTTTTGTCATGTCAAGTGGAGTATAGAAACCTTCCCACCACATAGATCCTTTTATTCTTGCTCCTTTTTGTTGGAATATCTCTATTCATTTTGGTCTTTCATTTCTCCCAGAAATCTTTTACAGTGTTTAACATAGGGATTGGGCACATCTTTTTCTTAGGTTTTTTTTTTTTTTGGGTATTACATTATTTTGTTCTTAGGTATTTTTATGTTTGATGCTATTATACGTGGTATTTAAAATTTTTTGCATTAAAATTTTTTTTTGTTATATGGTAATATAACTGATTTTTGTATATTGACCTTGTAGCCTATGACTTTGCTGAACGCATTCTAATTGTGGTTTGTTTTATATTTTCTAAGTTTGTAACCATGTTATTTATAAATAAATATACTTTTACTTCTTCCTGTCCAATCTTTATACCCTTCTTTTATAGAGGAGGAAAAATTGCTTCCTTCTTTATTTCTAGATTTTGTTGCTGGTCTAAGAATTAAATTTTTAAAAATTCGGAAAAAAGGCCAGGCATGATAGCTCACACCTGTAACCCCAGCAATTTGAGAGGCAGAGGTAGGCAATTGCTTGAGCCCAGGAGTTCGAGACCAGCCTGGGCAATATGGCAAAACACTGTCTCTACTAAAAAAAAATACAAAAATTAACTGGGCATGCACCTGTGGTCCCAGCTACACAGGTGGCTGAGTTGGGAAGATCACTTGAACCCAGGAGGCAGAGACTGCAGTGAGCTGAGATTGTGCCACTGTACTCCATCCTAGGTGACAGAGCAAGACCTTGGTGCACATGTACACACACACACACACACACACACACACACACAGACACACACACACACACACACACACACACACACAAGAATTACATTGATGTAAGATGGATTAACAGGAGGAAAACAATTTTAATTACATGCATATGCATGGGAGTCCCACAAAAACATCAGACTTAAGGAAGTGGCTACATGATTGAGATTTATGTATCATCCTGTGCCACATAAAGGAATAGGGGCTTGGAGGTTCTAGGGCAAGTGTCCCCAAACTTTTTACACAGGGGGCCAGTTCACTGTCCCTCAGACTGTTGGAGGGCTGCCACATACTGTGCTCCTCTCACTGACCACCAATGAAAGAGGTGCCCCTTCCTGAAGTGCAGCGGGGGGCTGGATAAATGGCCTCAGGGGGCCACATGCAGCCTGCGGGCCATAGTTTGGGGACACCCGTTCTAGGGGCTGGTGGAAGGAAATCGTGGAACGGTGAGGGGAGGATATGTATGGTGAGTAAGGGTTGTCTTATTGTGTTGTTTTAAAATTTAGTACTGTGTTTTGTTTGGCATGGTCTGATATGGGCCCTTAGAGGGACTAAGAGTACCTTAGTTATTTCTGTTGGGCCTCAGAACCTGACACCCCAAACTAGTTGGTATACTGAGTCCTTGGAACGAAAAGAGACTGGAAGGGCCTCAGATGCAAGGTCTTGCTGACCTTCTCCCATGATAGAAGTCATAGAACCCAAAATTCCTCTTCCCCAAAGCTGGTTATTGAGACTAGAGCCCCTCTCCCTAAAAGCAAGCCCTAAAACCGGAATAGGTAACATTCTTCCTTTTCCCTTCTCCCTTGAAGACTCTCACTCCAGAGAGGCTCTGCCCCATACCCAGGAGGAAGGAATACTAAACAGAGAGGCCAAGAAGAATCTGAACAGACAGTCTTGCTGGTTTTCTCTCACTCAGTCTATCACCTGTAGATGATACTTTTGTGCCCAATTACATTTATATAGGCTGTCTTTCTTCATCAAAACTAAGTATTAAAACAAACAGTTGGCTGGGCACAGTGGCTCACGACTGTAATCCCAGCACTTTGGGAGGCCAAGGCAAGTGGATCTTCTGAGGTCAGGAGTTCGAAACCAGCGTGGCCAGCATGGTGAAACCCCATCTCTACTAAAAATACAAAAAGTTAGCCAGGTGTGGTATCGGGAACCTCTAATCCCATCTACTAGGGAGGCTGAGGTTGGAGAATTGCTTGAACCTGGGAGGTGGAGGTGGCAGTGAGTTGAGATTGTGCCATTACACTCCAGCCTGGGCAACAAGAGTGAAACTCCGTCTCAAACAAAACAAAACAAAACTGGCTGGGCGCGGTGGCTCAATCCTGTAATCCCAGCACTTTGGGAGGCCGAGGCAGGTGGATCACGAGGAAACCCCGTCTCTACTAAAATTACAAAACATTAGCTGGGCATGGTGGCCCGTGCCTGTAATCCCAGCTACTCAGGAGGCTGAGGCAGGAGAATTGCCTGAACCCAGGAGGCGGAGGTTGTGATGAGCCGAGATCCCGCCATTGCACTCCAGCCTGGGTAACAAGAGCAAAACTCTGTCTCAAAACAAACAAACAAACAAACAAAACAAAACAAAATGAAAGACAGTCTTTCTTGAGTCACTGGGCCTTTATTTCTGAAGGTTGCTGTGTCAAGTAAAACCTTGATTAAATAAATTGTTATGATTTTCTTTTGCTAATCTGTCTTTTGTTGTAGGAGTGATGCTGGCGAACCCCAAAATAGGGGCTCATGCTGGGAGTTGTTGGTTTTGTGTAAGAAAGAATTCCTGAGTAAGCCAAAAGAGTAAAGTGAAAGCAAAGCAAGTTTATTCAAGCAGCAGATTATAGGAAAATGCCTACTCCATAGACACAGCCGGCTACCCCATCGGCAAAATAGCACTTACGGATTGCCGGCTAGCTATATTAATAGCTACTCCTTAATTATATGTGAAATAAGGGGTGAATTATTTATGAATTTTCTAGAAAAGGAATGGAGAATTCCCAGAACTTAGGGTTCACCCACCCCCACTTTTTTGTTGAGACGGAGTCTTGCTCTTTTGCCCAGGCTAGAGTGCAGTGGTGCGATCTTGGCTCACTGCAGCCTCTGCTTCCCAGGTTCAGGCAATTCTCCTGCCTCAGCCTCCCGAGTAGCTGGGATTACAGGTGTGTGTCACCGTGCCTGGCTAATTTTTGTGTTTTTAGTAGAGACAGGGTTTCACCATGTTGGCCAGGATTGTCTTGATCTTCTGACCTCGTGATCCACCTGCCTTAGCCTCCCAAAGTGCTGGGATTACAGGTGTGAGCCACCACGCCCAGCCTGGTTCCTCCATTTTAAGCCCTATAAAATCACCTCTGGGTGTTGCCATGGCGTTTGTAAACTGTCATGGTGCCGGTGAGAGTGTCTTTTAGCATGTTAGTGCATTGTAATCAGTGTATAACAAGCACTGAGGGCAACTAGAGGTTTTGGCCAGTTTCTTTACTGCGTCCTCAGAAAACAAGTCCTGCTGACCTCTTACCTTAGGAGTGCCAGCCATGACCCTCATGATGGGTGAGAAAAGGCAGCACCATCTTTCTGCCTCTCCATTTCCAAAGACATCGTCCTAGCCTTTTGTAGGCAAGGAGTAGGTAGCTGCTGCTAAATGGTAAATGCCTGTGTGTGTATTAAAAACAGAGACTTCTTTGGTCAGACTGCTGAGAAAACAGTGCTCTTTTATCTGGACTGTTGTAGACCTTCTGTTACGTGATACACTCTGCGGGGTGGGGGGGAGGGGTGGGGGGGTGGGTGCATTCCTTCAGCTGTTTTTTGTTAAGGGCTTTTAAAAACTTTTAGTAATACTACACAATATATGCATGGAAGAAACCTGCAATTTTACCTGTAAATATACAAAAATAAACAATTTTTTTTTTTTGCAAAAACCCGACACCACTTTATTGCAACTTTTATCCAAAAATGTAAAAAGTGTTAAAAATGTGTAGTTCTGCGCTTCAGGCACTAACCTCCAGTTCTCACAGGCAGGTGGGAAGAGGCCCCAGGCATGGTGCAAGACCAGAAAACCAAGGTCCTGTGGAGCACTGGCCCTCTCCGAGCGCCAATGACCAAGTCCCTCCCGCCCAAACCCCACCCAAGCTCTCCTCTTCTAGGAAGAAGAAACATTTACAATTCTTGAAACTTGTTGGGGAACAGGGTGCATGGCGGTGCGTGGCGCGTGGAACTGACCAAGGAGGGCCGGGGCCTGTCCCTCTGCTTTTTGGCAGGAAGGATGGGGCACAGCTCAGCTTCCTCCTCCTCATTGCCCTCTTCCTCTTCCTCGATCTCCTCCTCAGAAACATCATGGCTCACGGTAACAATCTGGTGCCTCCCGGTGATCTGTACAGGGCCAGAGCCCCACTTCAGGTGGAAAGTTACAGGTGGTTGGAGCTGGAAGTCGTCCAGGCTGAGCATGGGTTGGCAGGATAGCTTGAGGTTGGCCACAGGGGCTGCGATCTCCCGATGGTCATGGTTCCGGGCCACTTCTACCACATGACACTCGTCTTTGCCTCCCTCGGTGCTGCACAGCATGCTTAGTGCCAGCACGTGCTCCGCACCATCCTCTTCGTCTACCTTAAAGATGAGGGACCGGGTGTGGCCGGAGAGCTCACAGCAGAAATCCGTAGTGACGGGGGCCGGGACTCGCAAGCCCCCAACGCCCCTGGCCGGCGTTCGGCTCTCCTGACTCAAAAACGCTAAGGTGGCTTCACTGCTGGCCGCCATGCTGCCAAAAATAAACAGATTTTTAAGAGAGTTATAAAGACCAGGTGTGGTAGCGCATGCCTGTAATTGTAGCACTTTGGGAGGTCAAGGCGGGAGAATTGCTTGAAACCAGGAGTTCGAGAGCAGCTTGGGCAACATGGTGAGACATCACCGTCTGCCCGTCTCAACCAAACCAAACCAAACCAAAACAAAACAAAACAACAAAAAACTGTGGTCCTAGCTACTCAGGAGGCTGAGGTGGAAGGATCACTTGAGCCCAGGCGGTCGAGGCTGCAGTGAGCTGTGATCATGCCACTGCACTCCAGCTTTGGTTAAAGAGCGAGACCCCCATCTCAAAAACAAAAAAATTTGGTAATAAAATATAAATGACCCTAATAGGAAAAGCACATGAAGTCATTACCAGCTTTTAACAGCATTCTGTGACTTAACTGACACATTATTGTGTATTTGTCACTTAGCTTTCTAATGACCCAGCACAATTTTGTTGGCAGAACAGGTGGAGAGGTACGAAGAACGAGGAACATTGCCAGGGGAGTTTCTTCATCTGCAAAATAAGGGAGTGTGTACTGAATTGTCATTTCTAGCTCCAACATCCAGGATTTCAGCATTACCTGCAGAATAGTAGGAGGAGAGAAGATAGGTAAGAAGTGAACAAGAGAAGAGAGCTAATGAAATATGTGGCATCCTGGTACTGATGGGGTCCATCTCCACACCTCATGCTCAGGAAAGGGCAACAGGTTTCTTGGAGCTCCTCCTCATCTACAGGGCTCTCCTCACAGGGCCTGAAGTTCTGCCCAAGCCCTGTGGGGATTTTTCAGTCATTTACCTCTTTAAAGCCTTGTCAGAGGGAGCCGGTGTGGGGGAGGGGGGTGGTAATGTAGATGGCAATGCTGTCAGAACAGATTAGAGCCCTTAGTCCACGCTCTGCAGCCTATGGCCTGGTACTAGCGTTGTTCTGCATTTTTATAGCCATCTGTTGATTTCATCTTCTCTCGCACTAAGTGATGGGCTTCTTGTGGGCAGTGCTGCCGCTTACCCACCTTATTTCTCTCTAGCTCTTTCACAGGGCCTGCTGCATGTAAGCACTGGATGTTCAGAGTGAATGAACAGGAAGGGGCAGGGAAGTGAATCAACTCTTCTCAGGTTGAGACATCAGCACCATCTGTGATCTTTTCCTCGTTTGGACCTTCACGCAATTAGGCTGTAAAATCCAGTGAATTTTTTTTTTTACATGGAGTCTTGCTGTTGCCCATACTGGAGTGAAGTGGTGTGATCCTGGCTCAGTGCTACCTCTTACTCCCCGGTTCAAGTGATTCTGCCTCAGCCTCCTGAGGAGCTGTGATTACAGGCGCCCACCACCATGCCTATGTGATTTTTGTATTTTTGGTAGATACAGCATTTCACCATGTTGCCTGGGATGGTCTCAAACTCCTGACCTCAAGTGATCTGCCTACCTCAGCCTGCCAAAATGCTGGGATTACAGGCATGAGCCACCACGCCTGGCCCTAAAATCCAGTGATTTTTATTTCTATGTCTGCCTCCTTAAGTTCTTTCTCTGTTGGGTAGTGGGCTGCAGCCTAGCTTTCTCATCACCACTTCACCCTTCCTTACCCATCCTGTACGGACAGATTTTCAAGTACATTTTCAGCATATCTCTGGGGTGCTCATAGCATTTCCTCAACTTGACATCCAAATTAATCAGCTCGCTCTTCCGCGTCTTACCATCCTTTCTATACTTCTAATAAACACACCCTGAACTTCTAGGGAGGAGGTCTCATTGCAGATTCTCTGCCCAAGCCAGATGGGTTTCGACATAGTCCTGCCTCTGAGCCCTTATGCAAGCCAGCTCCCTGCCTGTCTCAACTACTTGCATCTGTCCAGAGCTTGGTAAGCCCACTTCTCGCAGAGAAGCTTCCTGGGGTCATCCCAGGCCACCTAGAATTTTCTCTTTGGTAGCACTTGGTCACAGCAACCTTGGGCACCAAGCTGAGTATAGAATGGAGTCCAATCAATGTTGACATAATTTTTTAAATGGTGGCAACAACCATGGGCCATCTGAAGCAGGAACAGGGAAATAGAAGCAGTGACTAGCCTACAAAAATTAGCTGGGTGTGGTGGTGGGCATCTGTAATGCCAGCTACTCTGGAGGCTGAGGCAGGAGAATCGCTTGAACCTGGGAGGGCGTGGTTGCAGTGAGCTGAGATCGCACCACTGCACTCTAGCCTGGGAATAAAACTAAACTCCATCTCAAAAAAAAAAAAAAAAAAAAAAAAAAAAGCCGTGACTAGGGTGGGAAATAGGTTGGGTCAAGGCTGCAGTGGGAGGTTAGAGTGGCATTTTAAGTGGAGCTTGTGTGGAATGATGTCAAAGGCATTAAACAGGCTCCCATCCTGTCATTAAAATGACAGGGCAGCAGTTGTATGTGTTTTTTTGGTTTTTTTTTTTTTTTTGAGACGGAGTCTTGCTCTGTCACCAAGACTGGAGTCCAGTGGCGCAATCTCAGCTCACTGCAACCTCCATCTCCTGGGTTCAAGCGATTCTCCTGCCTTAGCCTCCCTAGTAGCTGGGATTACAGGTACCTGCCACCATGCCCAGATAATTTTTTTGTATTCTTATTAGAGATGGGGTTTAACCATGCTTGCCGGGCAGGTCTCAAACTCCTGACTTCAGGTGATTCACCCACCTCAGCCTCCCAAAGTGCTGGGATTACAGGTGTGAGCCACCGTGCCTGGCAAGCAGTTGGTTTCTGTTTGCAGCTATCTGCAATGAGTGAGCCTCTTCTAGATTCTGAGCTTTGATTCAGCCTCCATAGGGGGTTTCAGTTATTTTTAAATGTACAATTATTATTGACTATAGTTCCCCTCTTATGCTATCAAATACTAGGTCTTATTTCAAATTTTAGTGGTACCCATTAACCATCCCCAGCTCCCCTCTATCCTACTACCCTCCAAGCCTTTGGAAACCATCCTTCTGTTTAACTCCATGAATTCAATTGATTTGATTTTTAGGTCCCATGAATAAGTGAGAATATGCAATGTTTGTCTTTCCGTGCCTGGCGTATTTCACTTAACATAATGGCCTCCAGTTCTATCCATGTTGTTGCAAATTACAGAATTTCATTCATTTTTATGGCTGAATTAGTACTCCATCGTGTATAAGCACATTTTCTTTATCTCTTCGTCTGTTCATGGGCCCTTAGGCTGCTTCCCAATCTTGGCTATTGTGAACAGTGCTGCAGAAAACTTGGGAATGCAGGTATCTCTTTGATATACCGATTTTCTTCCTTTTGGTATATACCCAGCAGTGGGATTGCTGGATCATGTGATAGCTCTATTTTTAGGTTTTTTGAGGAACCTCCAAACTGTTCTCCATGGTCATTATGCTAATTTACATTCCCACCAACAGTGTACAAGGGTTCCCTTTTCTCCACATCCTTACCAGCATTTGTTATTGCCTGAGATTTGGATAAAAGCCATTTTAACTGGGTGAGATGACATCTTACTGTAGTTTTGATTTGCATTTCTCTGGCGATCAGTGATGTTAAGCACCTTTTCATATGTCTGTTTGCCATTTATATGTCTTCTTTTGAGAAATGTCTATTCAAATCTTTTGCCCATTTTTTGATTGGATAATTAGATTTTTTCCTATAGAATTGTTTGAACTCCTTCTATATTTTTTTCATGAATCTCTTGTCAGATCGGTAGTTTGCATACATTTTCTCCCATTCCGTGTTGTCTCTTCACATTTTTTATTGTTTCTGTTGCTGTGCGGAAGCTTTTAACTTGATGTGATCCCATTTGTCCATTTTTGCTTTGGTAGACTGTACTTGTGGGGTACTACTCAAGAAATCTTTGCCTTGACCAATGTCCTGGAGAATTTCTCCAATGTTTTCTGGTAGTCGTTTCATAATTAGAGGTCTTAGATTTCAGTCTTAGATATCCAGTTTTTCCTGCATCATTTATTAAAGAGACTTTTTTTCTCCAGTGTGTTCTTGGCACCTTTGTCATAAATGAGTTTACTGTAGGTGTATGGATTTGTTTCTGGGTTCTCTGTGGTCTGTGGCTGTTTTTATGCCAGTACCATGCTGTTTTGGTTACTATAGCTCTGTAGTATTATTTGAAGTCAGGTAATGTAATTCCTCCAGTTTTGTTCTTTTTGCTCAGGATAGTTTTGGCTTTTCTGGGTCTTTCAGTGTTCCATATAAATTTTAGTGGTTTTTTTTTTTTCTATTTCTGTGAAGAATGGCATTGGTATTTTGGTAGGGATTGCATTGAATCTGTAGAGTGCTTTGGCTAGTATGGATATTTTAATAATATTTATTCTTTCAATCCATCAACATGGAATATTTTTCTTTTTTGTGTCCTCTTCAATTTATTTCATTTGTATATTATGGTTTTTATCATAGAAATCTTTTGCTTCTTTGGTTAATTTCTAGGTATTTAATTTTATTTGTGGCTATTATAAATAGGATTACTTTTTTGATTTCTTTATCAGATTGTTCATTGTTGGCATATAAAAATGCTGTTGATTTTCATTGATTTTGTATCCTGCAATGTTACTGAATTTATCAGTTCTAATCATTTTTTGATGAAGTTTTTAGGTTTTTCCAAGTATATGATCATATCCTCTGCAGACAAGGATAATTTGACTTTGTCTTTTTTTTGCTTGTTTTTTTTGAGAAAGAGTTTTGCTGTTGTTACCCAGGCTAGAGTACAGTGGTGTGATCTTGGCTCACTGTAACCTCTGCCTCCCGGGTTCAAGTGATTCTCCTGCCTCAGCCTTCTGAGTAGCTGGGACTACAGGTGACCACCATCATACCTGGCTAACTTTTTGTATTTTTAGTAGAGACAGGGTTTTGCCATGTTGGCAAGGCTGGTCTTGAACTCCTGACCTCAAGTGATCTGCCCACCTCAGCCTCCCAAAGTGCTGGGATTACAGGCATGAGCCCCCATGCCTGGCCTATATCTTTCTCATCTGATTTCTCTAGCTAGGACCTCCAG